TTTATGCAACATTTTTTATGTGATTTAATTCTGTAGTTAAGTTTACAGTCCAGGCCCTTAGAAAAGCCTAGAAAGAAATATGGCCTCCTCCACTCCTAGGATTCAATCTACTAAAAGTACCCCTTCTGGCTGCGCACAGTATCTGTGTAACAGAGGGCACTGTCTCTTTTTTAGCAGATCCAACCATCTGTGCCACAGGGCATATTTGCTGAGCTATGGCAAGGAGTCTCCAACAAGAACCATGAGGGAGAACAACTTCCAGCTTTACTTGGCATTGCTCTTACATCCTGGAAGGACCTAAGATGCCTTTGCAGGGTGCTAGGACATGGCACCCTCCATCATATCAAGGCTGTGGAGCATGGTACTGGGGTTGTTAAAAGGCACCAAGGAGAACATGTTTTGTTGCTCTTGGCTTTCCAACCCCATGTTTGAAAAGCTGTCTGGTGCACTGTTAAACCTTCCTATGGGTCAGAGGGCTGTGGCAGCAGCTACTACCAGCTCCTTCCCTGCTGACCTGCAAACTTTTTCTCTGGACTGGATTCCAAACTTTTTCCTGTCTTGTGATTACATTTTTGTCCTCAGTGTATTCACTATAAGGCCCTTTGGATCCGTATACAGATGGTCTCCATGCCCTCAAGTTTGCAAAACTTTGGTTAGATCATATTGCGCATACCCTTTTGGAATTCAAAGTTTACATTTTAATTTTGTATTATTTTCACTCTCACTACCAGACTCCTATCTTGAAGGAGAAGGTGGACTAGAGATTCAAGTAGTGTGCTTTCTAGAGCTGTAGCAGGGTTACTGAATTCTCTCCATGACAAGTTCTGTTACAAATTTAGGCCTTCTACTGTAGACATCCTGATAGACTATGGTCTAAGAAGGGTCAACTTTTGCCTGAAAGGAAGACACCTCCAGATCGTTTTATGTCCTGACTGGGAAAGTGTTTACCAGCCACCTTATAGCTATACTGTCACCAAAGTATCAGACACCATGTACCCCTAGAAACTTTAAAAGAAAGGACTAAGCTACACTCTTAATGTTACAGTGATTGAGCTCTAACGATTTTCCACTGTCCTAGATTGTAAAACTTGTATTCTTGAGAGGATGTCTTCCTACCTTCCCTTTGTAGATGCTTGTTTCAGCCTATGGCCCTATGGTCCTTGTCATTCCTAAGGTGCTCTTACTACCATGAAATCAAGCACTATAGCACTGAAACACTTAATTGTGCTTGCTTATTCAATACTGTGAGTTTGGTAGAAGCAAGGGCTTTCTCTTCCTCACTATTTTGTCTTTGAGTTGCAAAACCATGCCTGACACTCCTGGGCACTCATATATTTACTAAATACATAATTATAGAAATGCAAGTAGAAGCTGTGCCATTTGCCTTTGCTTGCCTTCTCCCTGATTTTTAATATTCTGACTAGACCTGAAACATTCTCCAGCCTCTCCTCACCTGCCTTCTTCCCATGTTCCTTCTAAACATAATAGTTTTGCCCAGACTGACTAACATGATCCTTGTTCACCTGCTGATTACAAAGGATTGGAGATAAAATAATCATTGCTCCATCTCCTCATTTTACTGAAGGCCTAGAGAGGTAAAGTCAGTTTCCCAAGATTATACAGCAGATCCGCTCCATAGCATTCCATTTCCCCAGCTTCACCCACTAGGCTGGCTACCTACTCATTTTATTTCTGATCATCATCCTATTCCCTCTCCACAGGTTCTTTGATATCCACCTTCCTAACTTTGGGAAGAAGAATAGTCTGGACTTTTACCCATACTAAGCTTGTAGAATGTTCTGTCCCATCTCTTGTGTGGAATTTGGATTTTTCTTGGTGCTATGCAATTTCAGGGATTTGTGACCTATGGCTATACTGAGATATATTTTATTAAATGCCTACATGATTGCTACACCATTCCTGTTCTTTGGTAGATTTACATCTTTTGTTGAATGTAGCCTGGAAACTTTATCTAGAAACCTCTTTTAAGTCTTGGCCACAGCCAGGGCAAGCATCTGGAGCTAATGCTAATAATGTTTCTCAGTTCTTCCTGGAGAGTAACCATGTGTTCAATCCATCCATACTCCTACTGCCACCACATTCTCTGATGATGTAACTAGGTCCAGTACAAGCAGTTGTTTCCTCCAAGTTACTTCTCATTCTTAAGTAAAAATAGTTTCCCAAGCCAGCAGGATCTTTCAGGCATAGGCATCTAGCTCTCCACTGCCTGAAACTTTTGTCCTAGGCTTTTGTTTCCTTCCCATGCTGAAGGTGCTGATTTGGCCTTGTCTGTTTCAAGAACAGTGACTAGTACGTGATTGAAGTAACCCAACCAACCAGTCTCTGATGGTTGCTGTACCACAGAAGATTAGGTAATTTGGAGAAAACACTAACTATGACCCTCAAGGGAATAGTAATAAGGTTCCACCTAGTTTAATGGAATGTGAAAGGTGATGGAATGAATATAAGGTATAGTGCTGAGTAAATTGTTTTGGTTTTGTGTTGTAAGGGAGGAAGAGCTGGAATCAAACTTAGCACAAATGTAGTTCCTGGGTGGCAGGGAGAATGTTAAAATGTCATTAGCAAAAACAGAAAGACACAGGGAACAAGCAGGTTTAGCTAAAACTGGGAGAGTAGGAGGACAAATGCAGTATGGGACATAATAGATTGGAAGTTCCACTGAACATCCATGTCATATTTATTAGGCAATCAGTATTATGGAGTTAGAGGTCAGGAAAGAACTCTAGGACAGAACTTTAGACTAGAAAATTCCCCATACTGAGTTGGTTTTGAAGTCACAGCATTATTTTATAAGTAGAGTAAGAGATGGAGATGGACAGAGCATTTATTGGATATATGCCCATGTAAAGATGGGAAGCAGGGAGAGGACTAGCTTCAAGAGGTTAAAGTTTGGGCAGTTAACGTCTTTTAAACACAATTGAAATGGGACATAGGGCAGAGTAAAGATGTGAGAATGTTATGGAAAGGTAGTTTTTGGATCAAGGTAGAAGGCCTTTGAGCTTGAAGTACCCAGCCTCAACAAGAGTAAAGAAAAAAGCAAAAGTATGTAGACTTTTCATCAGAAGTGGGACATTGCAACATGTGTCCCCAAAGTAAAGCAAGGTCCCTACAAAGATGAGGTAGGCACACAGTGGCTGATAGCATGGGGGAAGGCAGGAAGAATTTCAAGTAAGAGGTAGCTACCATAGGGAATATGGACATCTGCAGCGGGGGTAAAAGCTGGTCAACCAGCAGTGAGGGTGCTGCTGAGGTCAGATTGCTTACACTGAAAGGACAGTCAGCCATGTGTGGTGATTTTTCTAAGGCTGCAATATCAGCAGTTGGGATCTGGAGCAGGAGTAATGAGTGGTGGGAGGATAGTGAGAAAGTGAATCGGTCTCCTAAGTGGAGTGTCTGAGCAGGACATCCATGCCAGGGGGAAAAGCTGTAAGAGAGTCGAAGGAAGTAGGTAGACTGAGAAAGGGAGGAGTTTAGGGACTAGAGGTGACAATGAGGACCGAGAGTGGTTGTTCATATAAGTAAGAATGGGATTAGGTTTGATCTGGGGTGAGGAGTAGATCAATATATAAAATATTTTTGGAAACTGGTAAAAATTAACATTCCTAACCTACAGCTGAAATGTGGTTCCCTGTTCCTAATAGTTGATATTTTCCCTGATCATTGTTAATTTTAACAATATTTTCTTCTCTTCCTGTTTAGCTGAAACATCCTGAGATTTCCCACTCTCTTGTATTCTTAGGTCAGCCTTCTGAATCCTCTCATTTTAGTCTAGGTCAGTGATCTTCAACCTTGGCTGTGTACTGGAGTCACCTGAGGAGATTAAAAAAAAAAAAAAAATTAGATGCTTAGACCTGACCCTGGATAATCTAATTTAATTGGTCTGCTGTATGGCCTGAACATAAGGATTAAAAAAAAAAAAAAATCTCCCCAGGTAATTCTTCTGCAAGGCCAACCAAGGTTAAGATCTATTGGTCCAGGTATTCTCCCAGGTGAGAGTAATGACTCCCATTAATGAGTTGCCCATATTGGGAACTACCTGGTGAGTACAAGAGGACTACTTTAACCAGGGCTGTTACAAGTGTGTCTGAGCCTATGGACTCAGGAGGTCAGGGCATGTATCTCAGCTCTGTGATTATAAGAAAGCTCTGTACTATCCAGAATAATGCCTACAGAAAAGTGAGGGTTAAACTGGGTAATTTGACATGCTTCGCACAATGCTTGACACATAGAAGAACTCAACAAATGTTTTTGTTAATATTTGTGTTGTGATGTCATGAGTACTTTATTCTAATATGAAAAGGCTATTTTTCCATAGGCCCACACAAGTCAAATTCACTTTCCCTCACACACTATTTATTTTGCATCTAGACATTGCTTAATGAAGGCAAATTGCAGGTTACCTTATTTTTAAGTTGAAACAATAAAGCTTCATGATTATAATGATATAGTGATTATATGTAGAGTAGTTAGTGCTATAGTGAAAGATGGCAAGGGTTACTTGTCTAAATATGAAACTTAGTTTCAGTCAGTTGGTAAGAAAGTAGCCACAGGGTGGCTCCGTCAGAAGCCCAGATTTGATTTCATGAGGGCTGAGCATGGACTGTGATTTCTTTAAAACCTCACTCTGGAAGGAACCTGCCCAATGAGAGTTCATTTATTTCTTTTACTTTTTCTCAAGATTGTTTATCCAACACCTCTGCAATATTGATACCATTTAATTTTTGTTTTAAATGTCTTTAAAAATAAACAAACATAACTTGCCCCCTTACGCCTGTCATTCAGCCTGGCAGGTCCTTAGTGGGCTAGACCTACCTTTCTGATGAGCTGCCTGCCCCCACCGCAAGATGATTGTTCGAGAGGTAAAAACTTGCCAAAAACAACATTAAACTTTTAATGGATGTTAACATACTTGCATTTACAAGCAGTGAAGTTTGTCACCTTCATGTTGTTATTTATGCAGCATTAACCTTTTTCTCCAGATCATTGAGACTGAAAATATGATGGACCGAATTGTGACTGGCTTGTCTGAGTCTAGTGTCAAGGTGCGGTTAGCTGCCGTCAGGTATGAGCTTTAAATGGTCTGAATAAAAACCTTTTGCCGTGTTAACCTGTTTCCTTTCTGGTCCTTCACTGAGTAAACACAGACTACAAATGTTCCTCAAAAAAATGCGCTCAGGTGAATTCATAGAGTGTATACCATTGTCTTAACAGAGAGCCTAGCCTCCAAACCCCATGAAGTGATCTGATGTAGTTCGCTTAACAATATAGACATGCTTGAAGTGTACATTAGTCATTGTGAAATGCCAACGAGTTTGTTTGAAAAGTAAGAGTTTTGGTTTCTTATGAAGCTAATTTTGATTATTCTTTGTAGATGTTTGCACAGTTTATCCAGATCTGTGCAGCAGCTTCGAACCAGTTTCCAGGATCATGCTGTGTGGAAACCTTTAATGAAGGTAAGAAGAAAGGATCAGCTAGTAACAGCCATATTCGCAAAGCCTAGAGTGAGCTGAGCCAGTTAACAGTACTCCCTAGTCTAGGAGTAGGTCTGATTTTTGTGCAGAGTATTTTGAACACTTATCTTCTTAAATCTGATGTTCTGAGTGTCTACAAATGCTTCATGTATGAAGCGGAACTACAGGCCAGATTTTCTTTTAATTTAACTAAGCTTTAGTTACTCACCTGATCTCTCTGTTTGTTTAATATTACACCTTAACCTTATATCCAGAATTATCCTTGTAATTTTTAGTTCTGAAAAGCAAAGGAATCTGCCATTTACAGAGATAATGTGTGGTTCTTAGTCTTTTAGCAATCCCTGGATTTTTTTTTTATTTTAATAGGCACAGGATCTCACACTGTCACACAGGCTGGAGTGCAGTGGCTCAATCACGGCTCACTGCAGCCTTGGGTCACCCCCGCCAACCCAAGTGAGTCTCCCATCTCAGCCTCCCAAGTAGCTGGGACTACAGGCATGTGCCACTATACCTGGCTAATTTTTTTGATTTTTTAAAGTAGAGACAAGGTCTCACTAAGTTGCCCAGGCTTGTCTTGAACTCCTGAGCTCAAGTGATCTTCCTGCCTTGGCCTCCCGAAGTGCTAGTTGGCCCCTGGATATTTTTTAGCATCTTTGATGTTAGGTCTCTACAAGCCTCTTTTGTCTACCCCAAAAAGGTTCGGGGCAAATAAATCTGAATCAAGACTTAGAGCATGCATCAAGTGGCTGCTAATAATGTTATCCCCCTGATATATTACAAAACCATAGGTCTACTTGGTCTTTGGTCTATCATTTTTTTTCTTAAGTGATCATATACTTGCATTTAGTCAGCCTAATTTTTTAGAGTTTTGTTTTGTTTTTGCATACCTAGTATGTACTAAGCAAAGCCTTCAGGTACAGTGAGCCTACCAAAAGCATTTTACCACAGATCTGTTACTTTTGGCTTAAAGCTTCAGGTTTGGGGGGCAGGGGCATCACTGTGGCAGAAATAGGCTGACCTGGCACGGCACGGTGGCTCACGCCTATAATCCCAGCACTTTGGTAGGCTGAGGCAGGTGGATCATGAGATCAAGAGATCGAGACCATCCTGACCAACATGGTGAAACTGTCTGTACTAAAAATACAAAAATAGCTGGGTATGGTGGTATGCACCTGTAATCCCAGCTACTCGGGAGGCTGAGGCAGGAGAATAGCTTGAACCTGGGATGCGGAGGTTGCAGAGAGCCAAGATCATGCCACTGCACTCCAGCCTGGCGACAGAGTGAGACTCCATCTCAAAAAAAAAGAAGGAACTAGGCAAGAGACTATTCAGATGGGAAAAATATAAAGTGGGCTTTGAAAGCAAGAGGAAAACAGGAGGATTTTTCCAGGGAGCAGAATAGCATGAGGAGAAACATTATGTATGGCATGTGTAGGGAACAGCAAGGATGCCTTTATGACTGTAGTAGAGGAGTGGGATATAATGAGATATAACAGTGGGCAGGTAAGGACAAAGTGGAAGAGTCCGACCAATGCCGTGGCCTTGGGAGTTGACATGCTGCATGGTTCTTCCATTGAGGAGGCTCATCTAATGACAGAGTGTGTGATTTATGTGTTGAGGTCCTGGAATAAAGCAGTAGGAATGGCTTAGGAAAGACCATGTGAACCCTGGAGATACTTCAGTGGAAGAAATGATAGATTGGGTATATGATTCACTACTGAGGAGCTGTCAGGGGACTACAAGAGTTTTCCAGTCTAAACAAGTGTCACAATATGGTCTTATGAGGCCTATCAGAACAGCATCTTTCTTTAACTTCTTTTCAATGGGCATGCCTAAGCAGCATGTAACATTGAACTTGACTCTTTTTTTTTTTTTTTTTGAGATGGAGTTTCGCTCTTGTTACCCAGGCTGGAGTGCAATGGCGCGATCTCGGCTCACCGCAACCTCCGCCTCCCGGGTTCAGGCAATTCTCCTGCCTCAGCCTCCTGAGTAGCTGGGATTATAGGCATGCGCCACCATGCCCAGCTAATTTTCTGTATTTTTAGTAGAGACGGGGTTTCACCATGTTGACCAGGATGGTCTCGATCTCTTGACCTCATGATCCACCCGCCTTACCTCCCAAAGTGCTGGGATTACAGGCGTGAGCCACTGCGCCCGGCTGACTCATTTTTATCCATTGGCACACCTTCCTGAGTTTCACTCTTTTCCATCCTATTAGACATATGTCATCTCTTCTTAATATTCCTTGTTCTCTGATACCCTTTTGCTTCCTGAACCTCATTAAGAGCCCCAAATCTCAGAATGGTTATTTACCTACACCGTACTCTCCAACTATAATATCAGTACCTTTCTATGCTTGGAACACACTTGCTTATGGAGTATGCCAGCTCTCACCAGCAGTAGTTTATTTCAGGTCCACCATCCTTTATCCAAAACTGTTGGGGCCAGATTTAACATTTCTGGATTTTTTAAGGCTCTCCTCACTTAAGTGGTGTTTTCTTTTACTGTTCCCACTCTTTATTATTTTTAGATTGCACCTTTTTCATAGCAGCTTGATCTTGATTTATTGATTGTTAATTCAAGATTTTTTAAGTGCTCTTCTGCTTCCCCAATTAACTACCTTTTCATCCAGGGCCATTTTCCCTGCTTGCTCAGCTCAGTAGCCCTCTATCATACAAATTAGAAATGGAATAATGTGGTTTCCCTTTAGTTCTTTCTGGGAAAAGGTCTGGTGAGCATTCTAGAAGGGTTTTGTGTACTTGGGCACATGTGGGTATAATTACTCTCAAACTGCAATTTTGTCCTGTGTTTAAACTATAGTATTAAAATCTTGGAAGTAAACAAATGATTTACTTCAGATACTTTTTAGTCTCTAGTCCAGAGGCTGTTTGCATATCTGTTGATTTTTCCCATTTGCTTTTCCACATTTTTAACTGTTGGTTAACAAACTGCAAGAAAGTAGGCATTGGATTTTAATTTAAAAAATTATTTGTGACTGTTTTTTGTTCCTATTTTGGTGAAATTGTTTGGTCAGTATTAGATGTCAGCTTCTGAATTTCACATGTCATACCTTACACTGCACCAGGTAAGTGGTTTTTAAATTTATAGGATCTCTTCTGCTTTAGTTTATCATTAGATGTTATCTAATGTGAATGTTACCTAATAAAACTTGATAAAAACAAATTAATTTCTATAAACAATGAACATTTTCAAAAATGAATTATGTCAACCAAAGCAACTTTTTAAAGACTTGATAGTCACCGACTTATTTCAACCAGTGTTTCTAAGTAGTATAGTTTTAGAAAATGATTATTGCTCGCACCCATTTTGTGCAGTGCCATTGGGTTGCTACAGGCCAGTATAAATTAGACCATAGATACAGATTATTTCTTCAGGAACTGTAACTGTTATTAGAAGGGGAGATTGGCATAATTGTGCAAATAATTTGAATAGATTGCCGGGCACGGTGGCTCACGCCTGTAATTCAAGCTCTTTGGGAGGCTGAGGTGGGTGGATCACGAGGTCAGGAGATCGAGACCATCCTGGCCAATGTGGTGAAACCCCGTCTCTACTAAAAATACAAAAAATTAGCCGGGTGTGGTGGTGCATGCCTGTAGTCCCAGCTACTCAGGAGGCTGAGGCAGGAGAATTGCTTGAAACTGGAAAACGGAAGTTGCGGTGAGCCAGGATCGTGCCACTGCACTCCAGCCTGGCAATAGAGCAAGACTCTGTCTTAAAAAAAAAAAAAAAATAATAATAATTTGAATAGATTGACGGTTGTGAGGATCCTAAGAGAGGTCACAAACCATGGCAATGGGACCCCAGAGGAGGACAGAATGACTTCTGACTGAAAGGGCTAAGATGACTTTAAAGGTTGGGTGGGATGTACCTAAGAGATAGAGGAAGGGCAAGGCAAGGAAAGGGTGAATAGGGCCTTAGGGAGGTTGTGACAGACTCAGAGCTCGGCATGCATAGTATATGAGATTTAATTTGATCTTTATCAATGAACAGTCCACAGGAGAGTTAAAACACAATATCTTAGGCAAGCTGCCTCTACTTTATAATTTATGCTTATTCTTAACTTGAGAACGTCAGACTTGGTTTAGCCAAGGAAAGCAGATAATATATTTAACTGTCTGAAATTTTTTGTGATTACTCATTTCTGGTTTGTATAACTAGAACTTCTAATACTCCTTTTGGGATCATAAGCCTGAGCCTGATCTGATCCCAGATGCAGATGATTTAGTTGAAGTGATTATTACATAAAAATGGTGGTGTTTATGAAGACTTGTCTCTTAGAATCTAGAAAGGACAGGTTCTAATAATTAGCAACTAACATTTGTCATCCTGCTATGTTGCCTTCTGGTTCCGTGAAGGTCCATGGCAATTAGTTTACTGTATACCTATTATGTGCCTGATAGTAAGAGCAATTATGGTACTAAATTACCATTTTCATCAGGCACATAATAGGTATTTTTTGAGAGACGGGGTTTCACTCTTTTTACCCAGGCTGGAGTGCAATGGCGCGATCTCGGCTCACCGCAACCTCCGCCTCCTGGGTTCAGGCAATTCTCCTGCCTCAGCCTCCTGAGTAGCTGGGATTACAGGCACGCGCCACCATGCCCAGCTAATTTTTTGTATTTTTAGTAGAGACGGGGTTTCACCATGTTGACCAGGATGGTTTCGATCTCTTGACCTCGTGATCCACCCGCCTCGGCCTCCCAAAGTACTGGGATTACAGGCTTGAGCCACCGCGCCCGGCCCTAAATTACCATTTTCAAAGCCTTACTTGTACTGCCATGAGTATGTGCCAGTTACTATTCTAAAATTTTTTGTTTATTTTTCATAACAATCCTGTGAGGCAGATAGCATTTTATATCTGAGTAATACATGTACCTATTTAGTTGTTGAGCCAAAATTTGTATCTGAACAGTCTTTGTTTCTCATTTCTCTCCTGTGGTACTTCCCTTATTATTTACCATGTCACATTTAATCCTAAATAGTTCTGTCAAGGAGGTCTGATTTTCCTCAATTTATAGATGAAGAAATGCAGGCTCAGGCTAGTTAGTGGACGTGTCTGGGTTGGAACAAGGTCTGTGTGATTCCATTCCTGAGAACCAGTCTCCCACACTGTCCTGCCTGTGCAGTAGTAGCTTGCTTGATCCGTCAGTGCTCCTGCTCAAACAAGCCATTCTAGTGACACATAGGAAAGACAGGCTGTAAGGCCGTTCTGTACATTCATAAGGGGTTTGATTGATGGAGTAGAATGAGCTAACTTACCCCAGAGCAGTCCCTTGGCCTTCAAGCATTTCATAGAGTATCTTTCCCTAACGTGTCTGTCTCCTCCCTGCAAAAGCCCCCAGTGAGGCTGCAGCTTCTCTTAGCAAGATAGATTTGAGGGCCTTAGTCAGTCATAATTATAGCACTAGGTGACATAGTATCAAATGGATCCTTCCTAACCATCTCTCCAATATGAAGAATCAGGTTGCAAGATCATTGTTCTTGTTTTTATTTAGTCATTTTATATCTCATCTTCATCACTCCAAACCGTTAATAGTATCCCTTTTTTAATTCCACAGGTTTTACAAAATGCACCAGATGAAATCCTAGTGGTAGCATCTTCCATGCTATGTAATCTTCTTCTTGAATTCTCTCCGAGCAAAGAGGTTAGTATTGATTTTCTTTTCCTAGACTTTGCCTAGTCCAGCTAGAGCTTACTCAAATACTTTTTAAGCAGTTGACATTGAAATTTGTGGGTTGGGTTTAAAAACGACTTCTGAATTGTTTCATTGCATAGGGGTGGGGACGTGCAAATAAATTATTCATTTTAAAATATGGTTATTTCCCATTATTCTTTTTATTCCATCTAGCATATTCAGCTTATTTAAAAGATATTACAGCTTAAAGTCCATCTACACTGCCTCAAACTGCGAATGTAAGAAATAATTTTTCTTACAAATACTAAGCTATGCTCAGGCTATCTTTTTACTAAAGTATAGTATTAATTAAGACTAAATTTTGTAAACCAGAATTATGAATCATTTCAAGGAGATAACTCCTGTCATTGGGAAGTCATCTTTTGATGTTTAATGTTAATGATAGTTGTTTGGGGAGAGGTTGGATAGGTGTTCACTTCTGCATTTTATAAAATATTTCAGTATGTATTCCTTTTTTAATAGGAAAAACTAAAATATACCTTAATGAAGGAGGGAAAACCCTTATAAAGTTGGTTTTGTTATGTCGTAATGCCTCTGATCTGCCCAATCATGAACTCAGGTTTATTGTGCATTTAGTAGTTCCATTGTGTTGAATTTATTTTCTGTATTATAGCACTTGTAGGCTTTGACTGTAATTAAGAAAGGTAGTATTAACAAGATGGAGGTTCTGGCCAGGTGCAGTGGCTCACGCCTGTAATCCCAGCACTTTGGGAGGCCGAGGTGGGCAGATCACTCGAGATCAGGAGTTTGAGACCAGCTTGGCCAGCATGGTGAAACCCTGTCTCTACTGAAAATACAAAAATTAGCCTGGGGTGGTGGCACATGCTTGTAATCCCAGCTACTAGGGAGGCTGAGGCAGGAGAATCACTTGAACTCAGGTGGCAGAGGTTGCAGTGAGCTGAAATCATGCCACTGTACTGCAGCCTGGGTGAAAGAGGGAGACTCCATCTAAAAAACAAAAAAATAAGATGGTGGTTCAGAAATAGTTATTCAACAAGCAGGAATCTTGGAAAAAACAGGGAGAGACTGGTAGTCACTCTGTTGGAAGAGAAAGGCAAAATAGTATACCAGAGCTTCCCTCAGTTCATCAGCTCCATCTGCCTTATAGATGGGGTCTTGGCCTGATGATAACTGGCCAGTCACAGCCAGTTTTTAATTAATGTGCCACCATTAATCATCCTTAACTGCTCTTATATTGCCCCAGATCTGCCTTCAGGATATTTAGGGTCTGGTTAGGAAATAGGTAGATGAGATCAGGCAGAGGATCACGCATATGATTTTTTTTATTGAAAAATAAACTCCCAACCTGGGCAACATAGCAACACCTTGTTTCTACTAAAAATTAAAAAATTAACCAGGTGTGGTACACACACCTGTAGTTCTAGCTACTGGAGAGGCCAAGGCAGGAGAATTATTTGAGCCTGGGAATTTGAGTTTGCAGTGAGCTATGATCATGCAACTATATACCAGGCTGGGCTTCAGAGTAAGACCCTGTCTCAAAAAATTAAAAAAACAAAACAAAAACAAACAAAACCTAGATTCTGAACCAAGGTGAGGGAGGGAAATGCTTTAAGAGCATTTTTTGTGGCAATTGACAAATTAGAATATGGACTCCAAGGCGGGGGGATCACCTAAGGTCGGGAGTTCAAGACCAGCCTGACCAACATGGTGAAACCCCGTCTTTATTAAAAAAAAAAAAAGAATATGGACTATAGATTTGATAAAAGTATTAATTTAATATTACCTTTCCTAAATTTGGTAACTGTACTATGGCTAAGAGAATATCCTTGTTCTTAGGAAATACACATAGAAGTATTAAGCATAAAAGGGGCATGGCGTATGCATCCTACTTTCACATGGTTCAGAAAAGGTAGATAATGTGGATTAGGAATCTAGTACGACAGAGATGATAAAGCAATGATGGCAAATGTGAAAAACTGGCGGATCTGGGAAAAGACTGAGAGTTCCTTGTATTTTTGCTACTCTATAAGTTTGAACATATTTCAAAATAAATTTATACAATATCACAAATTATAAAGTTGAGAAATGTTTATCCCTTTTTCTGGGTATATAGATCTGAATTGCCTCTGACATTTATAGAATCCTCTTGACAAGTGACCTTTAAGCATTCATTGGTGATGGTAAATCTTAATCCTCTAAGGTTTGAATTTTTTTTTAGAAATTACCAAAAATTCATGTTTGTTAAAGCATCATAAATAAAGTTAAGTAATTAGACTAAAGCATGGTTTTTTAGGTGTAAAATGTGGCATGACTGTAAAAGTATAGGACTATTTTACTTGTATAATTGATAAGTAGTCCTGAAAATATCCTAAAAGATAAATTCTGCAGCGTGTTTGGAATAAGACTGACAGCTTGGAAGGAGGATGATTTGGTTATCTAAGTTCCTGTATATTTATTTCCTTTACCAACCATATTACTTCATAGTCAGAGTTTATAAGGAATGCACAAGATATATACATAAAGCAGAAAGTGACAGAGTCTCAGAGAACAATGAGAGTGGGGAGCTAGGTAATGAGATCATAAGGCTATGTGTGAAATGTACAGGTAACTAGGATGTCTCCTGAATCCTCCAGGACTACAGGGAACAAAGGAAATGATGGAGTGGTTTGGTTTGGTTTGTTTTCTTTTTCTTTCTTTCTTTCTTTTTTTTTTTTAACTTTTGGGACTTAAGAGAAAATAATTGTCTTTGCCATTCTCAGTATGATTTTTATGGCTGCATCACTCCCTGCTTTGCAAAAGTTGCCTAGAATTGGGTAAGGGTGGGGAAGAAATCACAAGCAAAGTGCCAAGGCATATGCACATTTAGTTTGTAAACCTGACTTTAAAGCTGTGATTTCTTTTTGCTGTCCAATGGCAGCCAATTTTGGAATCAGGTGCTGTAGAGCTACTTTGTGGATTGACCCAGAGTGAAAATCCTGCTTTACGAGTGAATGGAATTTGGGCTTTAATGGTACGTTTCACTTTTACATGTATCATAATTTACAAAAGGAATAGAGCTATTGTCTAAATTAGAACTATAAATAATGTGTTATTTAAAATGTCTGGAATTTTATTTTTCAAAAATCTTGCTATTTTGTTCTAGTTTTCTGATGACTAAGATCTAGAAGACTTAGTACTGAACTAAGGTTCAATGGTAAGCAAGGTTTAACTCTAAGCAAGTTATGCTTCCATTCTCTTATTATTAAGAAAAGTGAATAGATGTTGAAACTTATCTAATTCTGGGAAAATAAATTTTCCTCATCATCAGCGTATTATGTTTTGTGTAGTGCTACCTACTTGACAAGCACTTTCGTATCTCCTTTGCTCTGCAGAACAACTTTATGATATCAGCCAGGAAGTTCTTACCATACTTTATAGATGAAGTAAACTGAGACACAGAATGATTATTTTATTTTTTTATTGGCAAATAAAAATTATATGTGTTTATAATGTACAACACAATGCTTTGAAAGATATATAGGTGGTGGAATGGCTAATTTGAGCTAATTTACATATGTAAATTACCTCACATACTTAGCCATTTTTTGCAGAATGATTAAATAACTTGTCCAAGGTAACAAAATTGGTGCATAAATACTTACTAATTTTTTAACAGTTTTTAGTAAATAATTTATAATAGATTCTAAAACTTTATGAGGTTAGAGAATTATTTCTCCTTAAGATTATTAAACTTTTCTTGAAATTGAAAATAGAAAGATCCTAAATTGATTTTTAAAACATATGTATTCTATGTACAATTTAATTGCTCTGTACCAGACATTAAGCTGGGTGTTTTATTTTTATCTCTAATTCTTATTTTAAGATATATTGGTATATATTCACCTTACAAATGGAAAACTAGGACTTAGGAAGGGTAAGTCAATTGTGAGGGTGAAGGCCTCACAGCTAATACTGGAAATGGGTTCAGAACCTTTTCTAAGCCTGTATTTTTCTCCCTGTTCCATGCTGTATCTGCCATGTTCTTATACAGACTTTGGGATAGAAATAATTATCTTCTAATAAAGCAACAAATCCGTAGTTTCACAGTTATTTTTCTCCTAAACTTTGTACAGCTTTTAGCACTTCTCTTTCTTGAAACTTCTTCGGAGGACTTTTTTTTTTTTTAACTCAGTTTCTACCTTGCTTCCTTTTCAACCTGTTCTCTGGGAACATTCCCCCATTCAGTGTCTGGTTTCCAATTCTCTTTACATCAGTTTCAGGGACTTCATCTCATCATAGTTTCAATTTCCCTTTAATAGGTTACTTTAAAATCTGCATATCTAGATGTAACTGTTACCTATTCCGCCAGTCTGTCACTTAAATGGCCTCTCCGATATGCACAACTTTAATGTTGGAAATGGAACCTATTCCACTCTTCTAATCTGTACAAACTATCTTATTCTCATCAGTCTCCATATTACCAGCTGCTGTGTTCTCTATCTGCAAAATATAAAACTTTAGAATTATCTCTGGCCTGGTCTCTTGATACATAGTATTCTTTTTGCTCTGCCATGCTGCCTCTCATCATTATGTAACTTGATCTCTAATGTCTTAGCACTTTAATTAGTTCCTCGAGGGCAGCAACCGCATATTATGTGTCTAGTTTACAAGATTTTTTTTTTCTGATACAGAGTTTTGCTCAGTTACCCAGGCTGGAGTGTAGTGCATGATCTGAGCTCACTGCAACCTTGAACCATCCTGGGTTCAAGCGATTCTTGTGCCTCAGCCTCCCGAGTAGCTGGGATTACAGCCGTGTGTCACCATGCCTGGCTATACAAGAGATTTTTGTATCAAAAGTTGATTTATAAGTTGTTATTTGGCATTTATCATGATTTTTGTTTGCTTCAGACATGTATAGCTTGGGATTCAACTGGGCTAACGCATGATACAAATTAGAGAAAAAGGAGCAAAATAGCTATTGGCCACCCGGGATTACTGGTATCTCAGATACACCTCCTACCCTCTGGAGAGCTTCCTGTGTGATATAGCCCAGCCATGCCAACACCTACCATAGTATTGTGAACACAATAGATGTTTTCATGCCAGTAAAGTTAACAAAACCCACTGCTTATTTTCTTCCATAAATAAGTACTTTGAAATCATTCTCAAAAGTCATGGCACAGCGTAATCATTAATAGTCGTTTTGTGTACAGCAGGCAACTTGGTAACCATAAAGATATTCTTAAAAGTGATAAATGAGTTTTGTATTTATTTGAGAAATCTTAAGACATTCAAATGCCTATGCCTGAAAGTGGTCATATTCCTCATGTAGAAGTATATCTAGGAGTAACAGTTACCCTTCTCTTGACAGACAGAAATATAGGTGATTAACAAGAATCAGGAAAATAGAGGGATTTATCCTTAAAGATTTTCTGCAGATTCTGTTTGTACTTTGAAAGTTATCAGTTACTATTAAAATATAATTTAATAAAGTAAATGTAGACATGACTCTTGCAACTTCTTTAATCCTTTCAGAATATGGCATTTCAGGCTGAACAAAAAATAAAAGCAGATATTTTACGAAGCTTGAGTACTGAACAGCTATTCCGGTTATTATCAGATTCAGATTTGAATGTGCTGATGAAGACATTGGGACTTCTTAGAAATCTCCTCTCTACTCGTCCTGTAAGTAAAATCACCCACGCTTCCAAATTAGCTAGCCCTGCATATGCATTGCAAGACATTGCTCTCTCTCTCTCTCTCTGCCCTCATTAACATCTGCCCAAAAGTGTGTTTCAAATGCTACCCTCTTCCAAAGAAACAAGGAGTTGATGTCTAGACCTGTCGCTTTCGTAGGCGTTCTGGGAGCTGCTTCACCATATCACCCCCTGCTCTCCACTTCTATACTGCTTATCCTGTCTCCCTCTACTCCCTGGAGCAGAGGAAAACATGACCAGTGCCTACCTTGATTTGTTACTTTTTTCTTACATGGTTTGCTGTCCAGGATGGATTTTCTCATCTGCCTAAATCACTTATGTCTGGGGCCTCTACTTCTTTCCCTTCAGAGAATTCTCAGAGCCATTCCATAGACCGTCTCCCTACCCACATTTACAGGATTGACCTCTGAAGATGTCAGTATAGAAAGCAGTGGATACATGTCAGAGTAGGAGAGGCTTAGCCTTGCTGGTGGGGTCCCTCTCGATGTTTTCTAACGTTCCCCAAGAAGCAATATAAGTAGCCTTAAGGTAGATGAGGAAATATGGGTGCTTCCCTTCTCTGTGCCCCATTTGTCTTTTAAGTCATCATTATGCATTTATGCCCCAAGATAATATTAGGAAATCTATACCATATTTTCCATGTCTCTGGCTTCTCCTATTACCCCAGTCCATCCAATTTTTTTATGCTTCCTTTTTTTTTTTTTGGAGACAGAGTCTTGGTCTGTCCCCCAGGCCTGAGTGCAGTGGTGCAGTCTCGGCCCATTGCAACCTCCACCTCCCAGGTTCAAGTGATTCTTCTGCCTCAGCCTCCGGAGTAGCTGGGAGTTCAGGAGTACACCACCACACCCAGCTAATTTTTGTACTTTTAGTAGAGACGGGGTTTCGCCATGTTGGCCAGGCTGGTCTCAAACTCCTGGCTTCAGGTGATCGGCCTGCCTTGGCCTCCCAGAGTGCTGGGATTACAGGCGTGGGCCCACCATGCCTGGTTTGTGTTTCCTTTTTCTTTAATATCTTTGGGCTTGAGAACCCCCAATGATTGTACTTTCATATTCTGTCAGGTCAACTTTATGTATATATGTATATATGTGTAATGTATATATACGTGTGTGCGTCTATATATGTGACATATATTTGAAGGCAAACTGCAGCTTCAAAGTATAATAAACACTGTTCTTTGGCATCTAGTTCTGTATGCTGTAATGTTGTGCTTGAAGCAGTTGTGAACATGATGTTTAACTTTTAGAAGCCTTCTATTCATTCGGTGGTCTTTTTCTTTGTTTCCCAGATGATAATTATGGATTTCCCATTGTTTTACAGCATATAGATAAAATAATGAGTACTCATGGAAAGCAAATTATGCAAGCCGTCACTCTTATTCTAGAAGGGGAACATAACATTGAGGTCAAAGAGCAGGTATGTGTTGCTTTTTCTTGGGGAATATTTTCTGAATATGAGCACAAAGGAAGTTCTTAGGAGTCTCCTGAAACATTCAAATCTGCAGAAGACAGAGTGCTGAGATGGAAGGTGCTCCAGAGATAGGAAAAAAGATCTTCTGTCATCCCTTAAACTCTCTTTAAGAATTGTTCTTCCTAGGGGCCGGGCACGGTGGCTCACGCCTGTAATCCCAGCACTTTGGGAGGCCGAGGTGGGTGGATCACGAAGTCAAGAGATTGAGACCATCCTGGTCAACATGGTGAAACCCCGTCTCTACTAAAAATACAAAAAGTTAGCTGGGCATGGTGGTGCGTGCCTATAATCCCAGCTACTCAGGAGGCTGAGGCAGGAGAATTGCCTGAACCCAGGAGGCGGAGGTTGCGGTGAGCCGAGATCGCGCCATTGCACTCCAGCCTGGGTAACAAGAGTGAAACTCCGTCTCAAAAAAAAAAAATTCTTCTTCTTCCTGAAATAGAGGAAAACATGACCAGCATCTACAGTTTTGCCCTGTGTGACATGCACTGTGCACACTGTCCCTGTCTCTACAGAAGCAACCACCTTTCATCATTCTGGAATGAATCCTTTTTCCAGAATCACTATTTCTAGCCCTCTTTGCCGCCTTGCTCTGAACTAAAAATTCCTGCAACTCACTGATAAAATAATTCCTTATCCTGGAGATAGTTTTTGTTTCTTTTCTCTTAGGCATCTTATTCCCCATCCCGTATCCCTATTTCTGTTAAGTTTCAGGAGGGCAAGTTTAGGGTAGGCATTAAAAAGTACAGAAGCTGTGCATTTATCAGGACAGTTGGGAATTATTTTTCTCTATTTTCTGAGATTTATCATGGGAGTTTTAATGTATATGTTATTTTTTGCTCTGTGACAAGTGTTGTAGAGCAAAAGGTCATAGAGCATTTTATTTTACTCTTTGACAAAGGTCACCTGCAAACCTAAGATTTTAATACAGGACCAGAGGTACTGGTAATGTTCAATTTTTTGACAAAGGTGTTGGCTACATGGTATGTATATATATATCTTGCCCAAGGTCATCAGTAGAGAGTTGGACCCAGAGTCTAACTTCAGGGCCTGTGCTGCTCATCTTCTGTATTCTTGAGTTAGAGTAATTTAGCCAGCCTTAGAAGAGCAGTCCAAGAAGTAAGAGTTGTAGGTCTTAGAAGCTACAATTAAGTTGTGAGCAAAAAGATGGTAGATTTGATAAAGTGATTTTAAGACGGATATTTTAGGTAGTATCTGCTAAATTTTTTTTTAAACTGTGTTTTGATAAAAATAATAGAGAATGTATAATCTCATAAGCATCAGTAAAATTAGCTGACATGAAATCTATTACTCAAACACAATGAAGAAAATACATTGTTCAGAATAAACCATTGTACTTTGAGAGGATATGAATGAATTTTATCTAGAAAGACAACTTACCTGGATAGAATTTCAGTAACTTGAAAAGCAAAGCAAGACAGAAAGGTGAGGCAAGATTTGAATGAGGGCAGAAAGAAAGACCAGTAATAATACTGTTTTTGCAGGACACAAAGGAACCCTCTCATACAGATTTTGGAATGATCTGGAAGTAGGCGAGTATGGGAGGCTAAACAGTCTGCTGACTAGCTGGCAGTTTAATGCTTCTCAAAAACATCTGATAAGTTATTTTTTTGATTGATGTACAGTTGACAGTAGCTGCACATAAAGTATACAGTGTGATCAGTTTTGGCATGTGCATATACCTATGAAACTGTCACCACAGACAAGATAGTAAAACATATCTGTCACTGCCCTTAAATTGGGAGCAAGACAGGCATGTCCATTTGCACCACTACTGTTCAACATTGTGCTGGAATTCCTACCAAGCAAAAGAAGACAAGAAAAAGAAGAGGCATACAGATTGGAAAGGACAATATGAATGCCTATATAGAAAATGCCATGGACTCACCAAAAAATCTAGAACAAATAAATGAGTTAAGCAAGGTCACAAGATAGAAAAGTCAATTGTATTTTTATATATCAGCAGTGAACAATTGGATGTTGAGATAATAAAACATAGTACCATTTGCAGTAGCTTAGAAAAAAATGAAATTCATATGTGTAAATCTCACAAGGATCTGTATACTGAACACTACAAAACACTGATAATGAAACAAATGAAAGAAATCCAATACCTAAATAAATGGAGAGATATACCATTTTAAAATGTCAGTTCTCCCCAAGTTGATTTACAGATTCAACACAGTCCCAATCACAATACCAGCATGATTGTTTATGAATAATACTATAGATATAAATATCTAAAATCTGTGCCTTTACATACAGATTTAAAAACCTGTATGAAAAGGCAAAGGAACTAAAAAACCAAAACTATTGAAGAAAAAACAGGAAATATTGGAGGATTCACAATACCCTATTTCAAGACTTAACTATAAAAGTACAGTAGTAATGAAGACAGCATGCTCTTAGCAAAAAAAAAAGATAGCACATGTTGATCAATGGAACAGATTAGAGAGTCCAGAAATGGACCCACACATGAGTGGCCTGTAGCTTACTAACAAAGGTACAAAGGCAACTTGGTAGAGAAAGAATGGTCTTTTCAAGAAAAGGTGCTATACAATTGCTAAAAAAAATAAATAAACTTTGAACCATATCACACACCTCAGATAAAAATTTGCTGATAGACAAAACATAGAAGGTAAAACTATAGAACTTAGAAAAAATTCAGGAGAAAATCTTTGAGATCTTAGATTAGGCAAAGAGTTCTTAGCTATGAAATTTAAAACCTCATCCAGAAAAGAAAAGGTAAATTGGTCTTCATGAAACTGTAAAACTTCTGCATTGTGCTGCTTCTTTTTTTTTTGACATGGAGTCTTGCTCTGTCGCCCAGGCTGGAGTGCGGGGGCATGATCTCGGCTCACTGCAATCTCTGCCTCCCGGGTTCAAGCAATTCTCCTGCTTTAGCCTCTGAAGTAGCTAGGACTACAGGCACATGCCACCATGCCTGGCTAATTTTTGTATTTCTAGTAAAGACAGGGTTTAATCATGTTGGTCAGGCTGGTCTCGATCCCCTGACCTTGTGATCCACCCGCCTCGGCCTCCCAAAGTGCTGGGATTACAGGCGTGAGCCACCGTGCCCGGCCAGCTTCTGCATTGTGAAATGCACTGTTATGAGAGTAAAACAACAAGCCATTCACTGGAAGGAATATTTGTGGATCAGATATCTGAGAAATGACTTGTGTCCAGAATATTTGAAGAATTCTCAAAACAACAAGGAAACAAACAACCGGCCAGGTACGGTGGTTCATGCCTGTAATCCCAGCACTTTGGGAGGCCAAGACGCGCAGATCACAAGGTCAGGAGTTCCAGACCAGTCTGGCCAACATAGTGAAACCCCGTCTCTACTAAAAATGCAAAAAATTAGCTGGGTGTGGTGGCACACACCTGTAATCCCAGCTACTTAGGGAGGCTGAGGCAGGAGAATTGCTTGAACCCAGGAGTCAGAGGTTGCAGTGAGCCAAGATCACACCACTGTGCACCAGCCTGGGCAACAGTGCAAGACTCCATCAAAGAAAGAAAACAAATAACCAAATAGAAAACTGAGCAAACAATATGAACAGATACTTACAATAAAATATCACTGTGTTATCTATTAGAATACCTAAAATGTTTTTATAACTAACAGTACAGTTGCTAGCAAGGATACAGAGCGTCTAGTAGAATGCAAAATAATACAGTCATTTTGGAAATGGTTTGACAGTTTCTTACAAAGTTGAAACATATATTTACCATATAACCCAGCAATCCCATTCCTAGGCATTTACTCACATAAAATGAAAACCTAAGCTCACACATAAAAGAACTATGTATATATACATTCTTAACAACTTTATTTGTATCACCAAAAATTAGAAATTAACATCCCTCAACAAGCTATGGTTCATTCATATAATAGAATATCACAAGGGACAAACTCTTGCTATATGTAACAACGTGAATGAATCTCAAATGCATTGTGCTACGTGAAAGATCCCAGATACAAAAGACAAGATACTATATGATCCCACTTTGTATGATTATCTGTAAAAGACGAAACAGCTGAGACAGAGAACAAATCAAAGGTATCCAAGGCTTAAAGGTTGGGGGCAGGATTTGACTATAAAGGGATAGCATAGGAAAATTTAGGAAGGGAGGTGGTAATAGAACTGCTCTATAAATGCTGATTGTGCTGGTGGTTTTAAGGTTCTATACATTTGAGGCCGAGTGTACTTTGGGAGGCTGAGGCAGGCAGATCACTTGAGGTCAGGAGTTTAAGACCAGCCTGGCAACATGGTGAAGCCCTATCTCTACTAAAAGTACAAAAATTAGCCGGGTATGGCCACATGCCTGTAGTTCCAGCTACTCACGAGGCTGAGGCAGAAGAATCACGTGACTCTGGGAGGCAGAGGTTGCAGTGAGCTGAAATCACATAACTGCACTCCAGCGTGGGTGACACAGCAAGACTCCATCTCAATAAATATATACATTTGGTAAATAAAATTACTACCAAAAGAGTAAAATTTACTGTATCTCTTATAATTCTATTCTCATTTCTACAAATGAAAAGCCAACTGGGATTTTGATTGTGTTGAATTTATAGATCAATTTGGCAAGAAGTGACATCTTAACAATATTGAGTCTTCCAATTCATGAACATATTATATCTTCTCAATTATTTAAGTCTTCTTCAGTTCTTAGCAATGTTTTGTAGTTTTTGGTATATAGGTGTTATATTCTTGGTCAGATTTATTCCTAAGTATTTCATATGTTTGATGTTTTGAAAATGTTATTTTAAAAATTTTGATTTCCAATTGTTCATTGTTAGTATATGGTAATACAATATTTGTGTATGAGTCATGTATCCTGCATTCTTGCTAAAGTCGCCTTAAGTTCTTTTTGTGGATTACTTAAAATTTTCAACAAAGGATCACATCTGTAAATAAAAATAGCTTTACTTCTTACTTTCTAATGCATATGCTATTTTGTTTTTCTTGTTTCATTGTCTAGCTAGAACTTACAGTGTAATGAGATGAGGATGAACATATTTGTCTTGTTTCCAGTATTAGAGGAAAGCACTCAGTCTTTCACTATTGAATATGTAGGATGTAGGTTTTTCATCAATTCCCTTTATTAAAGAAAGGGAAAGAAATTCTCTTCTAATTTGTTGAGTTTTTACCATAAACAGGATTATTTTTTCTTTTTTGTTTTTAAATCCCAAACATGAGCCATAGATTTTTTTTTCAACTACTTTTTTTTTGTGTGTCTGTTGAAATTCCTTTTTTTTTTTTTAACTCCAATTTATATGGTAGATTCATTTAATTAAGTTTCATATGTTAAACTAATATATTTGAGGTAAACCTAATTTAGTCATTATATGTTATCCTTTAGATATGCTGCTAGATTCAATTTACTGAAATTTGGTAAGGAGTGTTTTACATCTATATTCATGAGGGATGTTGATGAAATGTTTGCTTATAGTGTCTTTGGTTTTGGTATTGAGATAATGCTGGCCTTGGGGAATGAGGTAGAGATGTTCTCTCTTCAATTTTCTGCAAGAATTTGTGAAGAATTAATTATTTTTTTCTTCAGTTTTGGTGGAATGCTCCCGGTTGGAATCATCTGGATATGATGACTGTTTTGTGGAAAGCTGTTAAGCTGTTTAACTACAAATTCACATTTTTTAATAGAAATAGGACTGTTCAGGTTATCTGCTTCTTGTGTGAGCTCTGGTATTATGTATCTTTCAAGGAATTTACTCATTTCATCTGAGTTTTCAAATTTATTAACATGAAACTGTTCATAATTTCTATTCCTTTTTCAAGTCTGTAGTATCCTTTGCAACGCAGTATCTCTTCTCCTGTTCTTTATATTGGTAATTCCTTTTTTTTTTCTTTTTGAAACAGAGTCTTGTTCTGTCATCCAGGCTGGAGTGCAGTGGTGAGATCTCAGCTCATTGCAATCTCTGCCTCATGGGTACAGGCAATTCTTCTGCCTCCACCTCCCAAGTAGCTTGGGATTATAGGTGTGTGTCACCACACCCAGATAATTTTTGTATTTTTAGTAGAGATGGGGGTTTCACCATCTTGGCCAGGCTGGTCTCAAACTCCTGACCTTAGGTGATCTGCCCACCTCAGCCTCCCAAAGCGCTGGGATTACAGGTGTGAGCCACTGCGCCCAGTTGGTAATTCCTTTTTTCCTGTTCAGTCTGACTAGAGGTTTAGCAATTCTATTGATAGTCTCAAAGAGTCAGCTTTTGGTTTCTTTGATTTTCCCACCTATTATTTTCTTTCTTTCTTTCTTTCTTTTTTTTGAGACAGAATCTCACTCTGTTGCCCAGGCTGGAGTGCAGTGATGTGATCTTGGCTCACTGCAGCCTCCACCTCCTGATTTCAGAGAGTATCGTGCCTCAGCCTCCTGAGTAGCTGGAATTACAGGTGCCTGCCACCACGCCTGGCCAATTTATTTAGAGATGAGGTTTCAATATGTTGGCCAGGCTGGCCTCAAATTCCTGACCTCAAGGGATCTACCTGTCTTGGCCTCCCAAAGTGCTGGGATTACAGGCATAAAGCCACTGCACCCCGCCTGAGCCTGTTCTCTACTTCAGAGTCTAGCCAACTGTTTCTGTAAGAGGCAAGGTATATATTTTAATTTTTGTAGGCTCTGGTCTCTAGCAACTACTCTTTTATGCTGTTCTAGCCTGGAAGCAGCTGTAGACAATACATAAGCAAGTAGACATGGCTGTCTTCCAATAAAAATTACCAAAAGAGACAGCAGGTTGGTTTTGGCCTAGACCATAATTTACTAGTCTCTGCTCTATTTCATTGATTTCCAATTCTTCATATTAGTGTATACACTAATATGCATACATTAATGGGGTGTGTGTGTGTGTAGTTTTTATCTCTTCCTCAGCCCACATATTCAATTGACTTGGCCCAACAATTGATTTTTGATTTTTTTTTTTTTTTTTTTTTTTTTTTTGAGACGGAGTCTCACAGCATTGCCAGGCTGGAGTGCAGTGGCGCAAACTCAGCTCACTGCAACCTTTGCCTCCCAGGTTCACATGATTCTCCTGCCTCAGCCTCCCCAGTTGCTGGGACTACAGGTATGCACCACCATGCCCAGCTAATTTTTGTACCTTTGGTAGAGACAGGGTTTCATCATGTTGGCCAGGATGGTCTTGATCTCTTGTCCCTGGGATCCACCTGCGTTGGCCTCCCAAAGTGCTAGGATTAGGCATGAGTCACCGTCCCTGGCCTAATTGATTTCTTTAAGATTTGATTTCTTGTCTCCATAGGAATATTTACAGAGGGGTTTTGTGAGCTTCAAAACAGAACTGGTCCTCTTTCATGCTGTTCAAACCTGGGGATGCATGGGTGTATTCTAACACTACAAAGGGGAGTCACTCACCTGTCTTGCTGACCTGGTCTATTCTGAGGGATCATCTCTGAAATTCCCCTTTATATTCTGTCTTAGTGGGTAAGAGGAGGTAGCTGTTTTCTAGGTGAGTCTAAAGGTGTTTACCATTTCTCCTCTCTCCATGAATACCTTGTTTATGAAGCCTTATTAAAATTCTTATTCATAGTTAGGATCATTTCCATTATTTCCTGTTAAGGTGCTCTGGCCAACTCATAGGACTTCGTCTTTTTGGTGAGGAATGGTGGGGAGATGGAGAACAAGAGAGTAATAAACTATGATTCTTCCATGTGCTGCCTCCTTCCTGCTTCCCAGCCAGGTTTTACCATTGTTCCCATTGATTGGTCTCACCTTTTGCATTTTGATTTTGTCTTAATAAAGCGTGGCAGAGGCTGGTTGGTGAGGATTGGATCACTACCACTGATGAATATCATTTTGCTAGCTTGCTCTTAGAAGGTGGGGTTATTGTAAAGCTTGCTAAGGCTTTCTATAATCACATGAAGGAATTCAAGCAGAACTGGAAAGAATGTGGTATTGTGAGTCCAGTGTTGCCACATTTGGATTGCAAGTCAAGACGTGTGATGGAGATGGGGAGAGAAGGAATACTTGTTGTAGGCTGGGCACAGTCACTCACATCTGTAATCCCAACACTTTGGGAGGCTGAGGCAGGCGGATCAGCTGAGATCAGGAATCTGACACCAGCCTGGCCAACATGGTGAAACCTCATCTCTACTAAAAATACAAAAATTAGGCGTGGTGGTGCACACCTGAAATCCCAGTTACTTGGGAGGCTGAAGCAGAGAGAATTGCTTGAATCCAGGAGATGGAGGTTGCAGTGAGCCAAGATCGTACCAAATCTCATTTCCAAGAGAAACTCTCATGACAAACTCTCCAGCCTGGGCGACCAAGTGAGACTGTCTCAGAAAAAAAAAAAAAAAAAAAAAAAAAACACTCATTGTATTTAATTACCTTATCCTGTAGGCTCAGGAGGGGCTAGAATGTGCAGAGAGCAACTATAAAACTATAAATCACTTGGTTCTGATGTCATCTTCAACTTGACTCCTAAAACATTGACTGTCAACTCTTCCCCAAACTAATTACATCTGTTAATTACACTTGTCATGCTCATGTCTGCCCCTTCATAGGATCTTTTCCACGAGAGAATAACCAAAAAGAGTGCAGATTCATGAGCTTAGGAGCAAGTAGCAGGTGGAGGCATAGAAAAGGGAGACCTCCCTAGCAGGGGAGTTGCAACACCTTCAGAGCTGCCACCAAAGAGACTACTTTGTTGAAGGAACATTGTGGTTTGTCACGAGAGTTTCTCTTGGAAATGAGATTTTCAAGAAAAAAATAATAAATTACATTTTCTCTTTGATTGATAGTATGACTTATACCAAATGGCTGCTTTTGCACAGCTATGGCTTAATGCCCAGGAAGAAACCACCAAAGTGTTGGGGTTCTCTTTTGTCTAAGGTAGATTTCTTCGGGTGTGGTTACTGTTATTAGCAATGATGTCAGCAGATGAGAAATCAGGGCATTGAGAGTGGAACCTGTGAGAATCCATGTACCTTCAAATGAGAAATTGCCCAAACTCTTGAGAGAGCTTGACTCTGGGACTTCAGAACTTTCCTGACTGTTGGCCCTTTGTTCTTTTCCAGACACTGTGTATCTTAGCCAACATAGCGGATGGGACAACAGCAAAAGATCTTATTATGACCAATGATGATATCCTACAGAAAATCAAGTATTACATGGTGAGCCCTTGTCCTCTTTCACTTCAGGATTAGAATGCAGGGACTGTTATATTGTTAACTCAAAATAAATTGTGCGGAGATTTTAAAAAGAAGAAAAGAACAGATTACTATGTGACTCCTCAGATTGAAGGAACTCTCTTCCATCCTGAAGAAAAAGAAAAAACACCAACTCCTTGAAACTTGTGCCACATGGTAATATTACCTGCCACTCCACTCCCTGCCCTTGTCGTCTACTGGTTGCCTCCCTCTTAACCAGTGAAGACCTGGGCTCTTGGCTTTCTCTCAGTGCCCTGTCTTCCCTCTCAAGGCTTCAGTCCCATGGTGGATGAACCCTCTAGCCCTCTGGCACCATAGTTCCTTTACCTGTTTGCTTCTAAATAATCTGCTACCTGCTGCCATGGCCATACCCTGCATCTGATCATCACCAGAGACTGCCCGTTGCCAAAATCTGGGTATTAAACAGCCCTCCACTTTTCATTCTGTCAACATCTCCTGACAAAATTCCAACCATGGAGGAAGCCTCCCCTTGCCACACCAATCTGTCTTCTCTTTGCCTGCCATGTCAGTTAACTGCAGAGAAAGGCACAGTACCTCACATGGGCACTCCACCTCTCCTGTTATCCTTTGGTGATTCTCTAAGAAGCTGGCACCCTCATTCTCTATGAGAATAGATTCTTACCTGCCCCTCATCCTTTAGATCTCACATCTTCCCTCCCCTATTACAGTTAGTGATGACCTCAGCTTTTTGTTTTATTAAGAGAAACTAAAATCCTTCAGTGGCTCCTTGTTATACCTTGAATAAAGTTCATATGCCCTTATGATGGCCTGTCAAGTCCTACATGACCTAACCCATTTATATCCCCAACTTATCTTATTCCTGTCTTCCTTTGTTCACTACCCTGGCTGCTTGCAGTTTCTCAAAAAGGCCAGGTTCTTTCCTTCCTTGGGACTTTCACACATGCTGGCTTCTCTGCCTGGAGCACTTTTCTCCTCTCCATCTCTCCCTTCAAATCTCAGCTGAACTTATACTTTCTTACTGGATTCTTGTCCTTGTAGATTATTCCTCATTACTGCATTTTGTTCCCTTCCTTCAGAGGGAAGAAAGGGAACAAACTTCCTTAGCTCAGTTTTAGTGTTGTATATTTGTGTGCCTACTGGGTGGCTCTACCACAGTGTAAGTTCCACAAGGGCAGGGACCATGTCAGCTTTGTGCGCAATTGTATATCCACCATGGTGTCTGGCCCTTTGCATATGCTTGGTAAATATTTGTTGAATGAAAACCTTACCACTTCCAACCAAAGATTCTGTTATCTTTTCAATACCCATCCACATTGTATACCTAATCACTTAAAAAGTTTTCCTTAACTTCTCATACCCATTGAGGCATACCCATTTCTCTCTGTTATTCAAAGCCAAAGCCAAATTTCTTTCTTTTTTTATTTTTATTTTTTGAGACAGGGTCACACTCTGCCACCCAGACTTGAGTGCAGTGACATATCTTGGCTCATCACAACCTCCACCTCCTGGGTTCAAGTGATTCTCCTGCCTCAGCCTCCTGATTAGCTGGGATTACAGGCGCATCACTGTCACTTGGCTAATTTTTGTATATTTAGTAGAGACAGGGTTTCACCATGTTGGCCAGGCTGGTCTCAAACTCCTGACCTCAAATGATCCACCCACCTTGGCCTCCCAAAGTGCTGGGATTACAGGCATGAGCCACTGTGCCTGGCCTTCAAAGCCAAACTTCTTACCATCTTTTCTGCACATACTGTCTCCTTCTTTACCTCTAAAGTCATTCTTTAACCTGCTTCATTTCACCTCTACCCCCATCATTCAACTGAAACTCTTATAATTAGTGTCAACAGTGACTTCCATGATGCGAAATCCAAAGGATCCTTTTCTCTCTTCATCTTACCCACTTACAGCAGATTGCAGCCCAGCTAACTAGCTCCTCCTCCTGGAAACATCCTTTTCTCTTGGTTTGCATGACACCATACCTCCCTGCTTACTCTGGACCCTCTTCTCTTCTCTCCTACAGGTGCTCTCCTGAGATCAGCAGATCACAACTTTCATTGTACAATATGACCTTGTAGGGAGCTTTCAAAGATTACCGCTTTGTCTTAACCCTCCCAAGATTCTGATTTAATAGGTCTGGGTATAGCCCGGGCATCAGGATTTTTTTTTTTTAAGATTCCTGGGTGGTTCTTTTTTTTTTTTTTTTTTTGAGACGGAGTTTTGCTGTTGTTGCCCAGACTGGAGTGCAGTGGCACGATCTCGGCTCACCGCAACCTCCGCCTCCTGGGTTCAAGCAATTCTCCAGCCTCAGCCTCCCGAGTAACTGGGACTACAGGCATGCACCATCATGCCCAGCTAATTTTTGTATTTTTAGTAGAGACGAGGTTTCACCTTGTTGACCAGGATGGTCTCAATCTCTTGACCTCGTGATCCACCCGCCTCGGCCTCCCAAAGTGCTGGGATTACAGGCTTGAGCCACCGCGCCCGGCTCCTGGGTGGTTCTTACGTACAGTCATTATGTATCTTCCTGCCCTTTCAGCATCTCCATGTGGCTGTCTGATAACACCTTGGAGTTTGTCTTGATTTTTCCAGCTCTGTCCCCTCATTCACCCAATTTATCAATAAGTCCTATCTGCCCTTCCTCCAAAACTGATCTCGAATCCAGTTACTCCTTTCGATCACCACTGCCTCCACCCTAGTCAGTTCAAGTCACAGCACCTCATGCCTGATAAACTATAATAACAGTATCCTCTTAGACACTTCTTCACTGTCACGACAATTCCTTCAACCCAAGGGTCTTCTAAAAAATGTAAACCAGATCTTGTCCCTCCACTGTTTAAATCTTTCAGGGGCTTCCTCTAAACACAGAATGAAATCCAGAGTCCTAACTGTGGCCTGCAAGTTCGCACAATTTGGCTACACTACTTTTCTGAACAGACAGTTCTTTCTTACCCAGACCTTTTCAGGAAATTTTCCTCCTCCTTGGAATTTCAAGCCCCTTGCTGTTTGCACATCTGGCACCTTCCTGTTCTTTAAGTCTCCGTTTAAATATTGCCTTCTTCAAAGAGATCTGTTTGTGCGTTCCGCCTAAATTAAGTTGCCACCCTCCAACCTCCAGTTTTCTCTATTGTCATAGTAATGTGTGTCCTCAAAAAATGTGGAATGAATGATGAATAAACTTATGCAAAGTAAATGCATATTTGTTTTAGTATATACAGACTTATTATTCAACAAATATTGATTGATTATCTGAGGCTGGGAATAGATAAGTTTTATCCTGTTTTGTCTTAAGGGAGCCCAAGCTGAACATCCCCTTAAAAGTGTTGGCAGGTAGAAGAAAGAATCACTAGCCATAGAATTCTACTGAAGGAAGCCAGATCCAGTTCTTTGTCTCTGCTTAGTTGAAATATAGTCCTACATGAGAAGATAAGTCTGTCTTAGCCTTGAAAAAACCACTGAGCATACTTTGCCATTGATATTTCCTCAGATGTGCATAAATTATTTAAACATAGTAGAACTGTTTTAAATTGACCAAATAGAACAATGACTACAAAAATTATTTTATGGCTGGGTGTGGTGGCTCATGCCTGTAATCCCAGCACTTTGGAAGGCCAAGGCAGGTGGATCACCTGAGGTCAGGAGCTCGAGACCAGCCTGACTAAAATGGTTAAACCCTATCTCTACTAAAAATACAAAATATTAACCAGGCGTGGTGATGTGCACCTGTGATCCCAGCTATCCCGGACGCTGAGGCAAGAGAATCGCTTGAACCCAGGAGGCGGAGGTTGCAGTGAACCGAAATTGTGGCATTGCACTACAGCCTGGGCAATAACAGCAAAACTCTGTCTCAAAAGAAAAAAAAATTGGGCCAGGCGCGGTGGCTCACGCCTGTAATCCCAGCACTTTGGGAGGCCAAGGCGGGTGGATCACGAGGTCAGGAGATCGAGACCGTCCTGGTCAACGTGGTGAAACCCCATCTCTACTAAAAATACAAAAAATTAGCTGAGCATGGTGGCATGTGCCTATAATCCCAGCTACTTAGGAGGCTGAGGCAGGAGAATTGCCTGAACCCAGGAGGCGGAGGTTGCGGTGAGCCGAGATCACACCGTTGCACTCCAGTCTGGGTAACGAGTGAAACTCCGTCTCAAAATATATATATATATATATTATTATTTTATTATTGGGTCCTCTCATTCAGGTGCAAGCACTCTATGTGGATAAATGTTCCAAAGCAACCAGAAATGGTTGTACTTTCTGTACATAAAGCAAAATAAATAAGAATTGTATTAGAAGACTAGGAGGCCCCTTAGTGATAGTAGAGACATTTGAGAAATCAGCTGAAGATTTCATGAAGTTTTTGGGGATGTTCCTATAGAAATAAGAGTAATTTAATTATTCCAGAAGCTGAATGTATTATATAATGCTTCTAGTTTATAGCAAGTTGTGTCAGAGGAGTAAACCATTTAAAGATTGTGTGTGTGTGAAAGTCTGGGTGTTACAGAATTTTCTGACCATATATTCACTTCCTTCCCCAAAGGAATTATTGGACCATTTGAATAAGATAACCAGTAGCTTAAGAGATCAATACCAAATGCAAATCCACCCATTGTATATTGGCTGCTGGTGACCTGGAAACATAGCCTAAGTAGAAAGCATAAAATTGTCAAATGACAGTGTTTCTTTGTGCATGGACTGAATCATAAATGGCAAACTATACCTATAGCCCTAGAGGTGTTTAGTTTGTCCAGCCAGATGGTGTTCTCAAATTTGAATTTGAATGTCTTTTGGCAAGGCTTGTACTCCTCAATTTGCCAGATTCTCCACTGTCCCTTGTTATCTTTAGCCCAACCCTTTCATTCATGGCCCCTCAAGACATTTGAGTTTGAGGCCTCTGCTTCAGACTTTTAGATTATAGGAATTGCCTATGGTAGGTCTTCCAAAAAAAGATCTAAAATGAGATTATCACCATTTTTATTTTTTTTTTCTGTATTAATAGGGCCATTCACATGTTAAACTGCAGCTTGCAGCCATGTTTTGTATATCAAACCTCATATGGAATGAAGAGGAAGGTAAGAGATTGGTGAGATTTGTTTTGAAAAAAAATTATAGGAAGAGTGTCTTGCACAGGGAAGGCAGCAGGTGCCCCTGAGATCCTGGGGAGAGACTCTGTTCTTGGACCACTTGGCCCAAGCACCCTTCAGAGTCGCCCTGTTACGAAAATCAGTGGAACTAGCCTGAGTCAGATGGACAGTCAACACTGAGCACCCCATTGGAGCCAACTCTATACCAGATTCAAAGGGGGAGAGTGAGAAGTAAGTGGCAGTCCCTGCCATGAGAGAGCTGATGAGGTGGATGGTGAGATGCACTCGAAGAAGGTGAGAGGGGAGAGTGGGTGGGAGAATAAGCCTTTCGTTATGAGCAGAGGAAGCACATATGAGGACTGCAGGCAGATAAGCATGATGGAGAAGAAGGTGCATTGGTGAGAAATGAGAAATGCAATGTGACTGGTGAAGCTGGTAGTCTGTAAGGAGGACTGTATAGATCAGCGATTCTTTACCTTGGCTGCATATTAGAATCATCTGAGGAATTTTTACCCCACACCAATTAAATCAGAATCTCTGGGGGTGGGCTCCAGGCATAAGTGTTTCTTAAAGCTCCCCAGTGGATTCCAATTTATAGCCAAGGTAGCAAACAAATATAGAAGAGCAGTGGGTCTCAAGCCTGGGTTGGCTGCATTAGAATCACCTGGGGAACTTTTTAAAGTACAGATTTCTGGGCCCCATCCCTAGAAATTCTGATTCACTTTGTCTAGAGAGAGCCAGTGCATGAGTGGTCACTGTAGGTTCTTCAGTGGGGAAGACTTCAGAGATTACTCAGCAGTTATGCCCAAAACAAAGTGCAAGAAGGGAAACTGGATTCCGCCCACAGACCTAGATACCAAGTACCGTCTGTATGGGGGAGAGAAAGCCACCCTCAAGGAGATCTTAGTCTAGTTGGAAGATAGAACAGAGTGATATGAAAGAAATTGGAAGTGCCAGTTGTGCTGAGAGGCAACAAAAAGTGCTAGGAGGACAGAGGAGGGTAGAAGATAATAGAAAGGGGAAGACAAGACCTGTTTGGTGTAGTAAGGGCCAGCCTGGCCTGACCAGGGCCATGGGTATGTCCTGAGAGAAGTGATGAAGCTGGGAATCAGTGGCAGAGGGCTTGTACCAGGCTGAAGAATCTAACCTTGACCCTGTAGTCCATGGAGAAATCAGTCCAGCTGCAGAACCCAGGATAGACTTCAGGCAGGATGGTCAGGAGGCAGAGAGCCGAGTTAGAAGGCTGTCAGTCCAAGCATGACTGGGCCCAACTATAGTGGGAGAGGGTGGAGGACAAAAGGGACAGGAGGAGTAGGGAGTGAAGGACACTGGTAAGGCTCTAGATTGTTGATTCTACATCAGACAGAGCATTTGCCTGGGTCATATTTCCAGTAACCTGGCTTTAATCATTTAGGTTCACAAGAACGCCAGGATAAATTACGAGACATGGGCATCGTAGATATTCTACACAAATTGAGTCAGTCACCAGATTCAAACCTTTGTGACAAGTGAGTATGAATGTAAAAAGGTCTTCCTTTGGGCTGTGTTGGATTCTTTCACAAAAGGGTTTGAATTGCCTGGTAATTAACATGGCCACACTTTTAAAATCTTTTATATTCTTAGATTTTCTATCAGCCACTGTATGATGTTTAAGTGAGTTATAAACTAATGATTATCAAATTATTAAAAACTCTTATCTTACTGTGAATTAACCTGTGTCTGGACCATTTTAGTGGATAATATTCAGAAGCCATTTGCATCTCTTCCCTTGATCATTAGAATAGACATGCATGTGACCTTTTGGAAAGCAGAAAAACTAGTAATGCAAACATTCATTCACTCAACACCTCACTGAACACCCATTTCGTGCCAGGCTGGCCCTGCTGCTGGGTATACAAAAAAAAACACGTCTTCAAAGAGCTCATCATTTCCTGATAGAGCCAAGAGTTATAATCAGATACTTAGCTAACCTCAAAATAGCCAAAAATGCTTTTCCTAACTACATGTTCTCCTTTTTTAACAGCCTTCACTTTCCATCTTGCCTCTATAATAACAAAGCAGGGAACATCAGCACTTTGAGTCTCCAGAATCTTGAGCATGGCTTAGAAGCCCTGCAGCCCTTCATGATCTGGCTCTGCCTTTCTCATCTTCCCCGCACCCACCATGCACACCCTATACTGCAGCCATACCTGCCCGCTTACAGTAGCACACCTTCATGCAATTACACATTCTGTTCCATCTGATTTGCTATCCCAGTCTCCTCTCCTCTCAGTCCCCATTCACTCAGCAGATAACTCTCTTTTTAATACCTGCGTTCTCCCAGACATTGTTTTAGGCATTAGAGATATAATGGTGAATAAAATTGATGAAGTCTTTGTCCTCATGCAACCTAGATTCTAGTATAGGAGATAGATGATAAGCAAATGAATACGTAACACAGTATCAGGTGATGAGAGGTACTATGAAGAAAAATAAAACAAGGTGAAGGAATGGAGAGTCAAGAAAATTTATTTTAATATAGGTTAACCAGTAAAGATCTCTCTGAGGATGACATGATCAGAGACCTGATGAAATGTGGAAGATTTCATCTGGGCAAATGCCTAGAGGAAGAGTATTTATAGGCAAGGGTGACAGTGGGTTCAAAGGCCCTGAGGCAGGAGTGAACTTGTTATGTTCAAGGAACAGCAAGAAGAACAGAGGGCTGATGAATAATAATGAGGGGGAGAAAACAGGAAATCATTGGAGACTGTTGAGCAGAGCAGACATTATCTGATTTGAATTTTTTTTTTCTTTCTTTCTGAGACAGAGTTTCACTCTTGTTGCCCAGGCTGGAGTGCAATGATGTGATCTTGGCTCACTGAAACCTCCGCCTCCCAAGTTCAAGTGATTCTCCTGGCCCAGCCTTCCAAGTAGCTGGATTACAGGTGCCTGCCACCATGCCCAGCTAGTTTTTTGTGTTTTTGGTAAAGACAGGGATTCTTTTTATTTTATTTTATCTTATTTTTATTTTTTTACTTTTTTTTTTTTTACATAAAGATGGGGTTTCATCATGTTGGTCAGGCTGGTCTTGAACTCCTGACCTCAGGTGATCCACCTGCGTTGGCCGCCAAAGTGCTTGGATTACAGGTGTGAGCCACCACGCCCGGCCTAGAGACAGGGTTTCACCATGTTGGCCAGGCTGGTCTCGAGCTCCTGATTGCAGGTGATCCACCCGCCTCGGCCTCCCAAAGTGCTGGGATTACAGGCATGAGCCACTGCACCTCGCCCTGATTTGAATTTTTAAAAGATCACTCTGGTGACTATATAGAGAACCATCTGTAGGAGAGCAAGAATGGAGGCAGAGAGACCAGTTAAACGCCATTGCAATAATGTCAGTAAGGATGGGAGGTTAGTGTTAGAAGTACTGAGAAGTGTTTGGATTCAGAATTTTAATCTGAATATAAATGCCAATGGGACTTACTCACAGATTCAGTATAGGATGTTAAAGAGAGAAAAGGAAAATGTCTAGGGTTTTAGCCTGAGCAACTAGATGGAGGGTGTTGCCATATACTAAGATGGTGAGACATATAGAAGTGGGTTGTGGTGGGGAATATCAAAAGTTCTTGTTTGGGTATGCCGACATTAGGATACTGTACCTATTAGATATCCAAGGGACTTGGAAGAGCATGGCTGGGGGTATAAATCTGAATGGTATTTAAAGCCATGGAGCTGGATGAAGTCACCTAGAGCAAATAAGAGAGAGGAGGCCTAAGGAGCAAGATCTAGAGCCCCCCAGCATTTAGGCAATGATGAGAAAGGTGCAGCAAAGGAGCAGAAGGAACAGCCAGTGAGGCAGGCAGAGACTCAGGTACATGAGGTGTCCTGAAAGCAAGGAGAAAGAATGCCTGGACACTGGCCATTTATCTTTCAAAACTCCTATCAGGTTGCCATGTCTTCCAAAAAGCCTTGCATGACCCACTCTCCACCCTCCCTTCCAGGCTTTTCCAGGGATGCCTTTTGTGCTCCTGCAGCATCTGTAGGACACGTCACACTGTAACACTGTATCTTGGCTGACAGCTTGTCTGTCTTCTTCACTGAAGGGGAGAGGAACTTAACTCCTCTGAAGTAAATGGCTGTCCCAGATTGTGGAGCACACAGGACAGGCTGGTCTTCTGCTTCCCTGAAGCTTATCATCCTGTAGGCCAAAGAAGAATAACAGACTGAGCACAGTGGCTCATCATGCCTTTAATCCCAGCACTTTGGGAGGCTGAGGCAAGTGGATCATGTAGTCAGGAGTTCGAGACCAGCCTGGCCAACATAATGAAACCCTGTCTCTACTAAAAATACAAAAATTAGCCAGGCATGGTGGCGTACACCTGTAGTCCCAGCTACTCAGGAGGCTGAGGCAGGAGAATCGCATGAACCTGGGAGACAGAGGTTGTGGTGAGCTGAGATCACGCCACTGCACTCCAGCCTGGGCAACAGAGCGACACTCCGTCTCAAGAAAAAAAAAAAACAAAAAAAAAACAGAAGAAGAAGAACTAAATAACTGCAGCCCAGTGCTACTGGTTAGTGAGCGTAACATCAAAGTCAAGTCCAAGCCACATACTGAAGGCTGGATTTGAGCTTGTACCTTGAGAACTGGAACCTCTACCTGCACAGCTGCTGGCATAAACGATGGGCTCTGTCAGCCCATCTCTTGTGGCTGAGAGCCATGTTGTTCAGTGGGGTTTTTCGCTCATACTTGTTCAGAAGTAAAAACAGATTTTACTTAAAATCATCTCAGGGACAACCTAGAATGCTAAGAGAGGCCTTACCAGCATCAAATGGGATAGGTTTAGGCCTGCTTGCTTAGACTCCACTGGTACTGTTTTCCCAGATTTGTATGGCACATAAGTTTTTAGCTCTTCTTAAACTTAAACCCTTATTAAAAGAATCAAGGTCTGAGCTACCCAACCTAAGTCCATCTAAAAAAAAGGTGATCTTGCCTCCAAAACCATTCTTCTAAAAAGACCCCTTAGATAATAATAGAAAGACAATAAAAGGTATGGTGTCTGAGAACCAAAATAATCAAACCTATCCAACCTCTGAATAAGATCCAGAAGGAGTTTGATTTGGCAGATCTAAAGAGCAATATAGAATTTTGATCAAGACCCTCATGTGGCGTTCCCATCGTGGCACAGTAAAGTCTGTCACCTGAAGAGTACCTCTCAGGTTCTTTCTGTCATTAAGGCCTTGATCCTTTGACTTTCAGATGCTTACATATGAGAAGCTATTGCTAACCAGCCCTCTCCACCCAGGCTCAGAGGGCTTCAGGGTTGCAGGGCCCCAGAACTCATGCCTCCATCAGAACTGCTCTTCTCAGCCTCTTTAAGTATCTGGGGAGTCAGGTAGATGGTCTGTGGCATCATTCATAAACTTGCTTCTGAAAATGTCCTGTAGAACCCAACTTGCTCATAACTTGGAGATAATCTTTCTAGAGCTTTGTTATGATGATTAGACTGTTCACAATAACATCTTTAGAGTCTTAAGTGATTGTAAGAATACACCTAAGTGTACCACTTTAAAAACTGTTGTGATATCCATGACTACAGAAACTGCACTTGAATCCAGCTTATTGTATGCACAGTCTACTTGGCATTACTTCAATCAGCTATCATACCTGAACATTGTAGACTTTCTTTCCAGAGCTTAGAAGAGGAGACCGTTGCTGAAACCTGACTTCCTAACTCCCACAATTGCAGCCTCTTTCCAAACTTTACCAAGTTTGTGATAGGAATAGTAAAGGATGCCTCCTTGGGCCCACCTCAAAGAAGGCCACTTTTACAAAGATCAGGATAGATTAAGTCATTGTTCACATTCTTTTTTTTTTTTCTTTTTAGACCAAGTTTTGCTCTTATTGCACAGGCTGGAGTGCAATGGCGCAATCTTGGCTCACTGCAACCTCCACCTCCCAGGTTCAAGAAATTCTCCTGCCTCAGCCTCCTGAGTAGCTAGGATTACAGGCACCCGCCACCATGCCCGGCTAATTTTTGTATTTTTAGTAGAAACAGGATGTCACCATGTTGGCCAGGCTGGTCTTGAACTGACCTGAGGTGATCCGCCCATCTCAGCCTCCCAAAGTGCTGGCATTATAGGCATGAGCCACCATGCCCGGCCTACATTCTATCTTTTCCTTTCCACCTGGCCACCTTCTTCCCCCATCACTGTAACAACCCACATCTCATATTGATCAGTTATAGTGTGATCAGGTGTGATGAGAACAAAATGAAATTGTAGGCTTCTTCCACAGTTATGAGGCATGTGAAGCATGAGACAGCCTCATCCCATGGGCTCTTGGCCCCTTCCATGAACCTAATCAGTACCTCAACACCATTTCCTTGGTCAGTTTTCCTATTTGCTTCCCAGAACCCTAAGTGTCCTCCCCTAGTGTTGGGCTTCACTGCATAAAACCTACATGGCAGTAAGAAAAAGAAAAGAATTAGAGATCTATCACAACTATAAGCCAATGACAAAGGAATATTACATAATGTCGGTACGTACCAGGGACTGTGGAATGTCACTGAGCTGCAGCAGGTTTAGGAGCAGGAACAGCCCTCTGAGAGAACCACAGGAAGAAGAATACAGCCAGAATAGATTTGAGGTATCTGCCCACTGCAGATCTCTGCCCCTTAAGGTAGGTGCCCACCTTGGCTCACCCCAGTTTCCTCTGGGGATTTACTTTTTAGACTTCCCCAACTATCATCATTGAGCCATAGGGGTTTTTTTCCCCCAATTACAATTCTGATATGATGGCTAACAGGAATTTTGTGATTTCAGGGCAAAGACAGCACTGCAGCAGTACCTGGCATGATGAGAACACCCCTGGGCACCTGCGAGCATCCCACCTCCTTGTTTAAGGAAGTACAGGAACCAGCCTCATTTGATTCCTTCTATTTGCACAAGTCACCTTGGACTGCAGGGAGCTGTTTTGCAAAAGCAATTTAGTAGGCTTAGATCTCAAATTCATCTTGAGAACATTTTTTTGAGGTAGTAGTTTCCTCAGAAGACTCTTGGGTTTTGTTTTGGTTTTTTTCTGAGCTACCCGGACTCTTTATTGAACAATCAATCATTTTCCTTTGGACCTACAATTTTTTGCCTATGCTGCAGCCACTTTGTGAGTGAGAATGAATATGTCTGTGTGAACACACAGGCATGCGTGTGTATGTGCACGTACGTGGGCCAGAATGAATGGATGTGTGTGTGTGTGAGGGATACCTCAGATTTTTCTTTTCTTATTTTGTGTGAAAATCTCTTTTCTACAGATTTTCCAGGGTTTAAGCATTGCTTGCTGTATAAAAAACTTTACTGAATTATATACAGTTTGAATGAAATGTTATTTTAAAAACAAAACAATTGTTAAGTGTTCCATAAAGGTTATGTTGAATTTTGGTCAGATGAATATTTGTAAGTAAAAAATATATGCATTTCTGAACCTCAACTTACATAGATTTTCTTTATATAAAAAAAAGAAAAAGTTGGCTATAGTTGGCCTGATTAACAGGCACTATACATGGTGCTGTGCAAAATAGTAAGCTAGCATCTTACTGCCGTCAATATTAGCAGGTACAGAGCCTTTTTTCATCCTAATTCAATAAGTTCTCAGGCTACCAAGTCAGATGGACAGGGAGGAGTAAAGTGAGGCGACAGATTCACCATAGGCTTTTTGAAGCATCAAAGGAAAATATAACTACTGATAGTGAAAGCCCAGTCGTGACCCAGATGGGCTTACCCTTGACAGGAACTGGGGACTGAGAGCCTCCCAACTGCCCTAACTCCTGTCATTGGTATACCAATATCTGGCCAGATTTAGAACCAGTCATGGAAACTTGCACTCATATTAAAAGTAGGTCATCACTTCCCAGAAACAGTCAAGACACCTTGTGCTTCCTGAAACAGCATATATCACTGTGAAACTAAAGAATGTGCTACAGACACACCTGTGTCTGTAGCAAAGAACAAAGAACAGGATAGTTTAGAAAGCTTTCTCTTACCGGTATTCAGCAAATTTCATACTAGTTGCTCAGGATTGCTAGTTGGTATGCTTTTGTAAAATGAGATTGAAATTCAATAAAAGATGCAACTAAAATCTTTTCCTGCATGAAGCTAAAAGCACCCAGGTTGAGAGAGGGGCAAGGGAATCTCCCCAGGATGACTAAAGATGACTTCAGCAAGTACTCCTAGCCCTTCTGCACCCCTTAGCTTGGTCCCTGCTCCAACTTCTGGGTCAGCTGCAAGGTGAACTCAACAGAAGTTGCTCTTGACTGTTTGAAGGTAGAAGCAGCCTGCCTTTTCTCTTTGCTAAAAGAAGGTCAGAGGCATCGCAGCCAGGATGCAAGGTCTGCAGTCCAGAAGCTTGCGGTGAGTGTGTGCCACAGATGGAGCCCCAAGCCCACCTACCAGCCACCCCTGATGGGGTTGCTCCCACTGCAGCTGCCCTATCACCACCCTGCACCTTCCTTGGAAGATTTAAATGTTTGATTGCGAATGAATGTTTAAAAATGTATTTAATGCAATTTTTCCTGTTCTCAACATGACCACCCAAGATTCAAACACAGAGATTTCCAAGTTATTATTTTTTTAGAACATCACTGATTTAAAATCTGTCACAACAGGACTTGGGTTTTGTGCAGATATCAGAATGCTAATGTGAGAAACCCAGTTAAAGGAAAACTTAGTTTATTGGAAAGAAAGCCTTAGGCCCACTCATTGTTTCTAGTACTGTGAAAATATCCTTGGTTGGCATTGTTAACACAAAACACTGTAGTGTTGGTATTAAATAGTACCAGGTAAATATAAAGAAACCAATAAGGAATTGCTGAGACAATCTTGAACCCAAATAGCGTTAGAAAGCTGAAGACCCAATGAAATAACACTTTCACACTTAAACTCTGTGGTGAAATCTTGCCTGTGGGTATAAACAGATGGTCAGATTAAAAATGCTTTACTATAATTAACTTTTCTGATTTGAATGAAGGGAAATGTATTTATTGAAACAAAGCTGTTTGCTGCTTTATGCAGATGCAGTGTTCAGTCAGCAAGGAAGTGGGAAGAATGGACATGGTCTTGTGTCTACACCCAAGTTCTTAACTAAGCTTCTCGCTCTAATACTGCATTCTGTTTCTCTTTTTGTGCCCTGATTGTAACCCAAAATTTATGAACTAGAAAAGAATGTCCAATTTAATAAGTTGCATTTTTTTTTCCCTTAAGCACTTTATTCAGAACAATACATGTTCTTCTGGTAGTGTTTGGATAATATGATTTTAACACATGCTAATAAAAAAGCCAAGAAAAATCATGGCAACTTCTAAAAAGGAGTCTGTTTTCCAAATGTCTAGAACATTAGGAAACATCAGAAGATAATGTGTACAGGTTTTGGAACCTGTGATTCTTGGTAAATGAAAGTCTGGGAAGTGGCTTTGCATTTCAGAGTGGGAGCCAGTGCCTTAGGGTAACTATGGCTCCCAGAGGCATCTGTAGGAGTCTGGGGACCCCTCTCTTTTTGGCTTCCTTCTGAAGGCCAGCAGACCCTTCATAGGTGGCCACTCCCAGCCACAAGATATCCTGTCCCCAATGTCATGTCCACCCCCTCCATCCTCTTCTCCTTAGGTATGCTTCATCTCCACTGCCACCAGATGCACAGTGTGCAAGCGCATGCCGTCCCTCTGCAAGGACACACAGGTGCTCTTCATCTACCACATGTTGCCACCTTTTCCTGTCTCGGAATCGTAGGCACATCCTGTCTCAGGGCCTCACTGTAAACAAAGCCAAGGACACCTGCGCCAGAGCATGGCGGAAGGACGATGAGGTGGCTAGCAGGAGAGGGAATAATCGTGGTGGGAACCTCTGAGAAGACCCAAGGTAAGGTCAAGAGAGTAGGAGCAGGGCCAGGCAGGCCCCCATTTCCCATTACTGACACAGGGAAATCTTGGAAGTGAGGCCTAAGAAAGGAGGAAAGGGGGACTCCCACCACAGATCTTGATGGAGGGCTGACATAAAGGTTCCAATTTCTTACCACCTGGGATAAGGACTGGTGCTATCCCCATCCTGCCCCTTCCCTGTTTACTGGGCAGAGAGGCACATAGTTATTTTCAGCATGAGAGAAGGTCCAGGATCTGGGTTCAGGGAAGGCTCAGGGAACACCCCCCAAGGGCCATGGAGTAGACTATTAAGGCAAGTTTCCTCCCTCTGTCTCTGCAGCCCCTGGCTCCTGGCTTTGGCAAGTAATCAGTCTTTAAGTGAAACCAGAACCAGTCCTTAAGTGAAACCACCCCCCTTGACTTCATGGAGCTGAGCCTGCTCTCCTCCCTATCAGACACTCACATCCAGGAGCCAAGAGGCCTTAAAGCCAAAAACAGCACCTATCCTTTAATTCCTGATTTGCTTCTGTTGTGGGAAACCAGGCCCAGGGTCTCCGCCAATGAGTTCCATCCTCTTAGAGTGGGCTGATACTTGAGCCACTCTCAGGAACCCCCTTAGACCCCATCCCCTCTTCCTTATCCCATGAAACTTGTGGACTCCTAAAGATGCCCTGCAATGCTGAACCCACGGCATCCCTCAGTCACCAGTAATGGGAGGAAGGGGCATGTCACCATTCCTCCCACTCTAGCCCCATCACCTGGTGCCCCGCCTGCCTGCATTGCCCTGCCCAGCTGCTTCATTCATCACTGACACAAGAACACAGGCTCAGTTCCCCCACCTTATTTTCCCCTCTCCCCTGCTTTGGGAGCCCTGGTGGCTCCATCCCTTACCTCACCAGTGTTGGAAAATCCTTGGCTTCCCAGATTCTGGGGAGATCAGGTGGTTGTCTGCTGGGTGCACCCCCTCCAAGTAGCTCATTCAGAGCCACACACACCTGTGGTGTGGGAAGCCCAGGCATAGGGCTTGTCCAGGTTGTTTGCCACTTCTGAGGTGGGCACAGACTATATGGGCCCCACTCCTGAGCTCACTCCCAAGGGGAAGAGCACAGCCCCGTCGTGGGCTGTGAGTCTTGCAGGTCTGGAATAGTGCATCCAGCTTCCTGAAAGGTCCTGTCATTGAGGTCTCTGTTGGGCACATCGAGATCCTGTACAGGTACAGATGAGCACCATGGACACGTATGTTTCCATCCAGGGATGACACAAGGTCCTGGGAAACACAGTGACCTTAAACAGTAGGGCCTGCCCAAGGTCACTGGCCTTGGTTCCCACCTCTGGGGACTGACTTATCCATGTGTCCCCAGAGCCAGCCCAGGGACTAGCACAGAGTGCCTTGTGCTAGGCTGACAAAGTGTGATGCACCCACAAAGAAGTCCTCTGGGAGCTAACTCCCCATTTAAAGAATAGTCATGGATAAAACCAGCAAGGAGAAAGAGGCTCACATTTGCTTTGTGGTATAGAAGAACACGGCCTTCTCCTCAAAGGAAAAAGTATGCCTGCATTTGGCAAACTTACAAATAGAGTGGTTAGATGGGGTGGCATTGTGTGCTAATATTCCCAAGTGGTCATAATCGCTACTTTTTACTGAAATCCTGTGTCCCTCAAGGAAAGAAGTACAGAGAGATGGCTAAGCCAGGCACTCAGTGAAAGCTGAAGACAACCTGGCCCCACTAGGAGCTCTCAGCTTTTAAATTTAGGCTTCAGCCAGAATCAGAAACCAGAGAAATGGGGGAGGGATGCATCAAGAAAATTAAATGAACCCTGGTTCCAAATGTAATGTCCAAGCATTGCTTTATGAACATGCCCTGGTAATAGAGAACTGCAGATGGGTGAATCTGGCAGCAATTAAATGACTGTCAGTGTGACTTGGGCAGGCGTGGAAGCATTTGGAGCCTATTTATATCTGCCATGGCATCAGTGTGCCTGCAACTGTAATAGCCAGTCTTGCTGCACTGTTTTCAAGCTCATGGTTACCAAATTAAGTTCTAAAATTGTTTAATTCATAAGGTAGATTTGTTGGGCAAACACCATCTCATATAATCCAGTATCCTCTGAGATGACATTGTATCTCACAACAGGATATAATAACTGATGTCCATTTATTTTGCAAAATCCCAAAGACAGAAAAAAAACTGTGTTCTACATACTGTTTAATAAGGCAGTATATACTATTTTCTTTCTTTCTTTCTTTTTATTAAGATGGAGTCTCACTCTGTCGCCCAGGCTGGAGTGAAGTGGCATGATCTCGGCTCACTGCAACCTTCACCTCCTGGGTTCAAGCGATTCTCATGCCTAAGCCTCCCAAGTAGCTGGGATTACAAGTGTGCACCACCACACCCAGCTAATTTTTTTGTATTTTTAGTAGAGATGGGGTTTCACCATGTTGGCCAGGCTGGTCTCAAACTCCTGACCTCAGGTGATCCACCTGTCTCAGCCTCCCAAAGTGCTGGGATTACAGGCATGAGCCACCGCATCCAGCCGTATTATTTTCATTGTCTACAAAAGACAGCTAAACCAAAAAGTATTGATACTCAAAACAGTAAGTTCCGATTTTGGAGATCCCTTTTGTGCAGCAGACCCCTGGTCACGTGCTCCGGAAGAGCAGCACAGCCATCTCAATCCATATCCTCTGGAAAGCAAAGCGCCTTAGTGGGCCCCCGCTGCCTCTTCAGCCTCACCTCCTGTGGGATGACAGATGTTCGGTAGGACTCCTGAAACAGCCTGTCCCAGACCTTCCGTCCCACCCACTATCCACAAAGAAACAGAAAGTTAAAGGTCAGAGCGGGAGGGCCAGCAAATAAATCCTGATATGTGTTAGGGACTAGGAATTAAAGAAATTAGAATGGGTAACATTGGTTGAGCATTTAATTTGTGTCATATCCCAGACCAAGAGCTTTATATTCTTTCATCTTCATAACAGCTCTATGATGAAGATTTTTATTATGAAGTTATTTGTGGTTATGACGAGTCTATCATCTCCATTTCACAGATGAGGAAACTGAAACCCAGAAAAGGTAAGTAACTTTTTGGAGGCTCTTCAGCTGGGGAACAGCAGAGCCAGGATTCAAACTCAGGATTGTCTGTCACCTTAACTCCTGCCTTTTTCTTAGCAGAAAAGTACTAAGTACAATGGAGGCATATACTGCTCCCCAAAGCTGAGAAAGTGTGACACATTAGAATAAATGGGCAGAACAGCACCCCAGCCAGGCTGCTTCAGTGTGTCCAAAGGAGGCTGTGCACTAATTCCCAGGATGTGGTCTGCAGATAGCCCCTTTTCTCATCACCTGAGGCCAAAAAGTCAGTCTCATGATCTTCCAGTACTCCCAACAGCCCAATGAGAATTTCCCAGCCAGTTCCCCCACCTCTTACCCCAGACTTGGCTCTGAGTTATAGCTATTTGCTTCCAGTCACCACCCCCCATTCCCAAAAGCTTGAAGGTGCCCCACAACCCTGGACACATAAAGAGATGCATCATGGACTCTCTGAGGGCAGGTCCCAGAGGAAAGCTGGCCAGGAGTGTGTCTGATCCACATAGAGCCACACTCCCCAGGATTTCCTGGCTCTCCAACCTCTGTTGCATGCTCAGCTTGTTCCTCAGCTGGCAGTGGGAATAATTCTACTTCAGAGGGCAATGGCAAGCCCACCTGTTCTGACTTGGCTGCATTTCAGACCTTGAGACCACGAGCGTATCAAACATTTAGGCAAATGCATTGATTAAAACCCAAACATTTAGACATACATCGATTATTGCCATTTCAGATGTGAATGTGGCCTTCTCCCAAGAATCCAACCCTCACATCCTTTGGGTTTTCCCAAGTTAATCATATCCCGGCCCCTTCCACTCATTTCAGGCTCAAACATGTATTGCAGCAGTTTGCTGGTTGTGGGGTAGGCTCCAGACCCCTTGGGGTTCTTACCCAGATTTGGAGGTGGTGATCCCACCAGGTATGCCTTTCCCAGAGGCTGTCTGAGTGCTTCCCATGAGGGGAAGGTCCTAAACAACAGTCATGCATTGAAATGTGGGGCTGAGGGAGATGAGGTCACAGCAGGCTCGAGGTCAAGGGCCCTTCCATATAGCTCCCCGTTTCTCAGCAAGCCCTTAGGGGCTTAACATGGAGCGTATGGAGCATGCCTGGCCTCTTGACTGGCTTTGAAGTGGGTTTCCAGAAAGTTAATTAAATTTCCACAATGGTTTCCACAGGGAAATGCAAATAAATTACTTTTGCAACAAAAATATGACTCCAAAATAAGCAGCAAAAAATTTAATGAGGTATTAAAAAGCAACACTGTTACTCTATGAGAACACAAAACAGTTTAGTATTGATACTCAAGTTATATAATCACCTGTATATTTAGGACTGTGTTAGATTGAAAACTTAGTTA